CGAAAGGAACAATAGAAGGTTCCAACGTTATATGGTCTGTTGGGAAGAATAAGAAATTCCGGTTGATCTGATAAGGTCACGGGATGGTATGGTTCAGTACGTTCTTGCAAGTTGCAAACCTTTCTGTATTGTTGCAGTATTGCGGCGGCTATGGCTGCATTTGGGAGAGAAGTTTATGTTTAATACGGTCACACTAAGCGCCGTACTCTTTCTTTTCTCTCGACAGTGAGTTAGTCAGCTTTACCCCAGAATATAGTAGAAACTACTGTGTAATAATTGTGAGTTTTTCCGCTATTCTACGAGAACCATATGTATTTGAGCTTATACTTGAGTATATACTTCCAATTTCAAACTCATACATAGTAGTATGTAGATAGTATGGGCTCGCTTCGGGCGGCAAAACGGGCACGTCCATTGGGTGGCGGTGGTTCTCCGGACCCGGAACAGCCGAGCGTGACCCGGAGGAACCTTACCTAAGAAAGACTAACGAACTCGAACCTGAACTGAACGGACCTTCAACTGTCACTTCATCTCGCTCTCCTCCTCCTTCAGCCTCAGCTTCTGCTCCTCCTTCCCCTCTTCCCTTGTCGTCCTTTCATCGTCTCGCCTTTCATCCATCGTCCGCCCCGGATCGTCGTCCACGCGCATTTATCCTCATTCAACATCCTTTCCCCTCATTTTCTTCTGCTGTTTTCCCCTTTCCGACCACGTTGCCGCGCCGAGTCCTCAGGGGGCGCGCTGTGATGCGGCTGCGGTGATCGATTTCCTCACACCAGTCTCTGTCGCCTAACAGCGACTCCCGTCGCCCATATTTTCTTGTTTTCTCCCGGAGTCGCGGATTACTCTTGCCGTTGAACTAGTTACCCCTTCGGTCGACCACCAACCAATTTCCCCACCACCACCACTGACTTTCCACCCAAGCGACTTTCGTTCCACGTCTCGTTGCTCGGATTGTCTACCCCCTCTATCGTTGTTCAAGTGAACACGGGATTAAAACGACACAAATCTTTCGCGCTATGTATAACACTCATCGCGGAATGGTTCCGGCTCCCAACTCCCGTCTGACGGAGTTGTTGGACCAACTGCGCCAGGAATTCGAGAATCAGTCTCGAAGCACTGGCGAGTTCGAACATCAGCGTATGTTTTGATATTTCCCTGGTCCTTTGTGTTCTTTGGATTGGCTTTGCGACGGGGGGCTTGCTTGTTACGGCGCGTTTCCGTTGGGTTGCACCTTGTGGCGCAGGTTAACGGCGTACGGGTGAACTCCGGAGTTTCAATGCAATGGAGAGCATCCTGTGTCGTCAATTGTTATATCTAACGTTATTTTCCCGCCGTTGGTGTATATTGCTGACCCTTGGTTTCTACCGTCCCTAGTAACCGGACAGCTTCAAGAGATGGAGATGATCCGCCAGAAGGTCTATCAACTGGAACAGGCACAACTCAAGATGAAACAAGAGTACGTGACTTGAGCCCCGGCGGCTCATCCTACCCCATAGCCGAATTAACGCCTTATCTATTGTTGTAGTTACGAAGCAGAGATTCGGGTGCTGCGACATGAGCTTGAATCGCGCGGTGTTCAGCCCGTGTCATCTCACATTGCCGGCCCGGCCCAGCACGCTGGACCTTCTCAGGCTCCGCCACCGGCCCTGGGTCACGGCCCTAGCAATCTGTTTGGTGGCATCATGACCAACCAAGGAGGTAGTGGCCCCGGTCTTCCAGTTGCCCCTCCCCCTCCCCAGGATCAGCAGCCTCCCCAGCATACCCTTCAACAGCCTGCTGCCGCGGCCCAGCAAGGAGCGCCGCAACCACCGCAGAGCTCTTTTGGAGGATATCAGCCTGGTGCTGCTGTGAACGGTATGTTATGACTATGTTTGATAGACAAATTGCCTGACCTCTGACCTCGTGATCGCCTCGATCTCTAAACAGGTTATGGACCTCCCCCTCCTCCTGCTGCCTCCCCCGGCCCTGGCAAGCGGCCCCGTGCTCCTCCCGGCCCGGCCACTCCTCAACAGACCCACCAGCTGGCCTACACATCCGATCCCCGCGTCTCCTCGCCGCAATTGGCCCGCCCCACGCCTCCTAGCCAGGCCCTCGTGCGAGATCGTCCGGGAAACATGCTGGCCAATTGGAATCCTGACGATCTGCCGGCGTCGCAAAAGCGAGAGGGCGCCGATTGGTATGCCGTGTTCAATCCTGAGGTGCAGCGCGTGCTGGATGTGGAACTTGTTCATCACCTTGTCCACGACAGCGTTGTGTGCTGTGTTCGTTTCAGCCGTGACGGCAAGTACCTTGCGACCGGCTGCAATCGCTCTGCGCAGATCTTTGACGTGACCACGGGTCAGAATGTTGCGACGCTGCAGGACGAAAATGTGGACAAGAACGGCGACCTTTACATTCGCAGCGTCTGCTTCAGCCCTGATGGCAAGTATCTTGCGACTGGCGCTGAAGACAAGCAGATTCGGGTATGTGGTCCCGCTGTAACATCACTCGTCATCGTTGATGCCGCTTTGGTGCGCTGTTATACAGAACTGTTGAGGCTAACCTTTTTTTTCTTCTTCTTTTTACCGTTAGGTGTGGGACATCAATGCTCGGACGATTAAGCATATCTTTACCGGTCACGAACAGGATATTTACTCTCTTGATTTCGCTGGCAATGGTCGGTACATTGCGTCCGGTAGTGGAGACAAGACTGTTCGCCTTTGGGATATCCTGGACGGCAAGTTGGTCTACACCCTGAGCATCGAAGACGGTGTGACCACCGTTGCTATGTCTCCAGATGGTCACTATGTCGCTGCAGGCTCTCTCGATAAGAGTGTGCGAGTTTGGGATACCACTACCGGCTACCTTGTGGAACGGTTGGAGAGCCCCGATGGCCACAAGGACAGCGTGTACTCGGTTGCCTTCGCCCCCAACGGCCGGGACCTTGTCAGTGGTAGTCTGGACAAGACCATCAAACTTTGGGAGCTCAACGTGCCCCGTGGCGCCTACCCCGGAAGCGGAGTCAAGGGTGGTAAATGCGTCCGCACTTTCGAAGGTCACAAGGTAAGTACATACTTTCCGATAGCAAAAGACCCATACTGGTTTCGTGGTTGCTGACCTCACGGGTTAGGACTTTGTGCTCAGCGTCTGCCTGACACCCGACGGACATTGGGTCATGAGCGGTTCTAAAGACCGAGGCGTTCAGTTCTGGGACCCTATCACCGGAAATGCGCAGATGATGCTCCAGGGACACAAGAACTCAGGTTCGTACCTAAACCCCCCGAGCACCATGTCTGGCTTGCTAGGTGATCTTGGTTTTCGCTAACTCGGTGACAGTCATCTCCGTGGCGCCCAGCCCTACTAATAACCTGTTTGCCACTGGCAGTGGTGACATGCGGGCAAGAATCTGGAGGTACGTTTTTACTAGCTTACAAGGCATTGATTGTCCTGGTGGCTTTCTTTTTCCTTCTTCTCTATCATGAGCATTGTTGACAAGGTCGCTCGAACAGATACTCTACCTACACTGGACGGTGATGAGAATGATTTGGGAAAGTTTTGGCGCAATTATGGAATTATGTTTCTTCTTTTCGAATCTTCCGTTTCCGATTCTCTCTGCTTGTCGCGTCTTGTTCGACGTCACTACCGGGATTTGCGTTGCAAAAGGCCAATTGCTTTTATTGTCACAGCTCCCATGCACGGGGAAGTGACCTTGGGGGGTTTTTTTTCAAAGGAGACGAACTGCTACAAGCGAAGCGAAACAAAAAAAGAGGAAGAAAACAAAATACAATAAAAAGGCTGTACTGGTAGTAATTTCGCGCTGATTTTGTGGTTGTGAATTTATTCTGAGGAAGCTGAATGCAATTGTCACGAGAGCAGTGTGATGATCGGTGGGGGGCAGATGCTTCCTTAGCGGTTGCCATCGTGCAGAGACAACGATAATGATAATCCAGTGGGCTTGTTGACTGCGGCATATTGTAGTCGGCTAGAAGATCAATCACCCCCTCCCGATGCTTCAGTTGACTTCATGGTCCACATGATTTGCTGGCTCCGACAAAGTAGCCATTTAAGAGCGCAGGGATGTACTTCTCTGGCTACCTATACCCGTAAGATCACCTTCAATCGGGATATCCGTAGTCCCCATTACGGGCACCTGCACGTTGCGGGGGGGTGGAATCAGCAGTCGGCACCGCTATTCGGTCACCATGCATATAAATGCATGATCGTAAAACTATGATTGTCTTGGACATCCAGGAAAAGAGCTGGCAGTGCCGTCACTAAGGGGCATAGGCTGCCATGCAATCTCTCGGAATTGAACTAGCATTGGTAGTGGATGCAAGTTGTTGAATTGGTCACGGACCTATGTTCTCGCATTACGAAGAACTGCAGTAGCGGCGTACATCGCATTGGACTCCCATATCGAGAATATATAAACTCCGTGGTCCGTAGGGAATCCACTCGGGGATCTATGGGTCTAAAGCGAGATCGATACCTATCTAGTTGGTCGGGCCCACGGACTTTTCCGGGAAGGCTAAGTAAGCACAGCAGGTGTACCGGACATTTTTGAGGCACTGGCATAGCCGCCACCACCAGAGGAAGATCATAGGTTTCCGTCAGCATCTGAGCTAAATGGAGTTGGATATCGGGATGTGGCAAGGATCTCAGGATCTGCTTCGGCACAAGACATTTGGATTGTGATTAGCAAGTAGCAAGACGGTCAGCACAAAGCTCCTTCTACATACTATACTATGAAGAGTGACAGCCCTCGATTATTCAGATTGAAAGCGTGCATCGCCATGGCTATGCTATGCCTGCGTATCTCGTCTCGTCGTCTTTCGCGTAAACGGCATAAACCCGTAGAGGTGAATAAGCAGTGAGTACGAGGTATGGACCGGGCATGGCTCCAGTGATCTGAGGGCAAGCAAGGCAGGTAGATCCCGGATAGCAATCGGTAAAGTCACGATCACCCAGGGCTGTACTCCATCGTGCTTAGTAGTAGGAGTACGTAGTTGGTAGGAAATGAGTGGGGGGAAGGAGCTCTGGAATCTGGATGGCCTGCGGATGACGATCCTCCAACTAAATGGCTCCTCCTTGTGGGTTTCTGGGACTGTTCCCACTCGAAATGTCCATCTCAGTCGACTTAAACGAGGCTTGGTAAGGGCCCGGAAAAAGCCATTGCCTGGGCTATGCCCGCGGTGTGATGGGAATCGACATGCTGCATTGGCATGGGACAACCCAGCAGGTGAGATTAGTTATAGGTCAGTAAAAGATGGCACAGGCATAACCAGCTACTAGTCAGGTAGTTAGTAGGGATACCTACTGTGGGTTAGTTAGTGGATTAGTTAATAGTTACTTAATAAGTGACTAGAGAATTGATGTCTCGATTCCGGGGATCCATTCGCACCTGCTCCACTGCCCCGTCAGTTGTTCCCGTTCCTGATTTTCCAGTCCATGCGGTGTGGCCGATGGTTCCTTCCTCCTTCGGGGATAATGTCACGTAACCTTAGTGGTAAAGTAAGTAAGCCAGCCCGTATTTACCCAACAGATCAAGGCGTGATTTTCCCAAGTCGGCAGTACTAGTATCCAGTCAATTGCCTCTTGACACAGCAGCTAAATTATGTGAACGTGAACCCAAAGCCCCCCTCGCAATCAGCTCTATAATTATAGCCTTTACATATATATATATATATATATCTCTCTCTCACTCTCTTTCTTTCACTTCAACTAATCCATTCTTTGTGTCTGAAATATTGTAATGACATAGAAAAGTAGAAATCATTGTGAACTGCAAGTTCAGGAAAACTTCCCTCTGTAAGTCGAGGCAAAACCATGGTCACGTATGTGACATTTTAAGGTACCGGCGCGATACGAGTCGAATTCCACTCGGCTGGTGTTTGTCACAGACCCGGGCAGTGCTAGTCGGCGCTATTGATGGGACGCGATTTTCTCTCCTGCGTCTTCTGACAAGCAGCCCCCTGCGATCACGAGGTGGTGAAGGGTGTGCATTGGGCAATCGACCTACATCATGCCTTACGTGCTGCAAGCAGGCACCAGCCAGCGCCTATATCGCCGTGGGGTGTCAAATCTGACTTTCTCCCCCGGGCTCTCTTTTCCCTCATTTCTTTTTCCCGAGCAGGAGCCGTGATGATCGACTGGCGGATCTCGCTCGGGAAGGGGGAAGAAGGTGGAACAGAGTTGGTGTGTCTTGGCGGGTAAATGGACCAAGGGGGCAGGCACTGGGGCTGTCTTCAGGAGCTGCTGGATCCTTTGACAGACGACTTGAATGCTGTTGTAACAGAATGAATTACCATGATTAAACTTATTCATGCATGCCTGCTAGTTAGTATCTAGGTAACTAATAATCCTCACAAATCCGGAGCTGGTCAGGTTCGGCTAGCTCTAGACTGGCGTGAGCTAAGCTGCTGTGTTCACATACCTTTAACATGTATCATCATGGTACATACATGCAGACTATGCATGAACCATCATTCACGATCCCGGGACTTCACGGAAATGGACATCTAGAACATACGGAGTAGTAGTAAGTACCCAATGCTAATTACTGCCTGCGCACAACAAAAACAAGAATCCCCGAACATATGCTGTTTTTACCAAAAAAGAAAAAGACTGTGAATGAATCTCCAATTCGCAAAGACACATAAATCCGGCCAGTAGAAGTTCCTATGATGTCACGGATTATCTCAATTTTTTATCTCCTGACACTGCATGAAACCATAAATGTGATACATCTCACGACTGTCAGCTTTCGCAACTCCTTTAGATCCCATGTTTGAGATATCGATAGTTGTGCCTATGGATGTGCGAGTCACCACTCCCCTCACCCGATCTGAAAACGCGACGGATAGGGCTTTTCTTTTTCTTCTTCTGTTATAACATTTTTATTCTTAGATTTCAGTTCTTATTCATCCATGCATTTTCCCTAAAAAGGGAAGAATGAAATAAGAAAAAGGATAACAGCCCTGTATCCACAAGTATGCCTGCTTATGTAGGTATGTCTGGTTGGCTGGCTGGCTGGCTGGCTGGCTGGTACCTACAGCCCGTGCAGTAAGGTTACTGTATGTAAGTAGGTTTGAACTTTGCCGCAGTCTAATCCAATAGATCCTCACTAGGGGATCCTTGGGCTTCGGGCCCACATTGTCGGGAACGCAGTGGTCGCTGTCCACGATCGATGAGGCCAGGAATAAGTGTTTTACATGGTACGGAGTAGTTGGTATAGCTCCTTGGCACCAGCATCCCTCGCAGTGGAGGAGCACGGTTCAGCTGGAGCACGGTGTGAATTCTAAGAGGCTTCACCTCAAGACCCTATTAAGTTGGGATTGGTACTAAGTCAAAAGTTCTGCCTCCATGAAATTAGCGTGACCTAAAGGGGTTGGGGAAATCACCTGTAAGATCCACGGGTCATGGCTGAGTTTGGGCGGTTCCGAAATGAAGGCCCGGCCCGTCACAGCAGCGGACAGGTAAGGAGAAGGGAAAAAGTCACGCCTTCAGAGTACATTCAATTCCTCATTCACCATCGTCATATGTATCTAAATCACAATCTTTTTAGCTCCTGTATCCTTTTCATAACAACTGTAGTTATACGATAGGCCAGTGTTATCCCTCTGTAAGGGAGAGAGAAAAGGAGAAAAAAAAAATAATAAATAAAAAATAAAAAGAACCCTCTGTTCAGCGACTCTAAACCCGATTGATCGTTCAATGACAGCGGGGCTCGCTCCATCAGACACTGAGCAGTGAAACTTCAGTGTCATGCGAGAGAATTCAATGTTCCACAGAATCAAGAAAAAAAGGCAGAGAATGCAATGAGGGATCGGACACAGTTTGTCGACGGCGAACTTTGGAAACCACAATTACTTTCATTTCGAGAAATGTTGAAATACAATCTTGTAACAAATACGGAAAGCACTGGCCATGTTAATCGATACGTCAGGCACTTTACAATCTGCACTACCTCAGTATAGTTAGTTACCTGCCCAGTACCCACATAAGCATGTTCCCTACTTTCTAACCTTACTCGCCCCTGTACTAATTTTGCCTGAACCAAAACGAGGAAGGCAAGGTGAAATGTAGAAAGAGAAGAAGAAACCGACAGAGAGGAATTACCTAGAGTCATAGCCAACATTCTTGTGGTCAGTGATGCTATGAGTCTAGTTCAATATTGGCACCTAAAATTACTGTTTAAGTCGTGTCAGCCATCCATCCAACAGCACCAGCGCGCAACAGAGTCTTGCATGTTTCAACCTGGAGGTGAATCCACTTTTTCAGGGGTAAAGGCGTACAGAAGTACATGATGTTCCATGAGAGATTCAGAGGATGCATCGTTTGATGCTAAGAAAAGAGTCAAAGTGGAGTGGGTCATGGATGGGGGAAGACAACTCACTGGTATCTACCTTTTTGATAAGACAGGAAGAGGTCTGCTGGACTAAAGTAGCCAAGACCTGTTTCGAGGCCATGAACCATTGAGATCGTTCACTTTCCCGATTATGTCTTACTCCGGATACTGATCGGTTCGAGATTTTTTATTTCTAGGGTTGCTAGCCTTTATCCTGAACAACTGACGACCAGTGAGACTAGCTTACCGGGCCTATCCTGTCTATCAACACGGTAGGACGAACGGGGGATGTGTTGGGATTTCCAAGTCGCCAGACGCGGCTGTTGCAAAGGTGAGGCACATCCACGCCAAGGAGAGGAGGGCGACAGTGGGGAGCTTGACAGCAAATGAGCGGCCGGGGATTGCTACACTATTGATCGCCCGCGAGCGGTCCGTTGTGTAGCTCTGCCGGGCGAACCCTGTCATGCTTTCTCTCGCCTGACCAGAAGTACTGAGGTATTATCATGTTGCGTCTCTTTTTCCGTAGATATAACACATCTTTTTTTTTTTTTTTTTTTTCTAGTTTTTCTCCCTCCCCTAAATACCATTGTATAAGTAGTAACAAGTCGGTTAACTTCAATCATATCAATCATCATATTGAAACTCACACCTAATGAAAAGGTTAGTGAAGACAATGTGACTAAGTAGGTAAGAGCAATGGCCTAAGGTCTAACTAGTAAATGTTTACTTGCCGCTAAGGTAGGTATGGATGGGGCACATTCTACTGACAAGAAGGATGGATGGAGGACAATTCAGCTCAGCCAGTTCCTCCGATACATAATAACAGTAAGTACGTACTTACTCCCTCTCCTATTAAGCCCGTCATCGGAGTTCTCGGCCGCTCCGGCAGCGAACCAGCATCCAGAATGAAAATTACCGCCCGCTCCTGCAACCGGGTAGCGATATCAATAGGATGGGGTTTTCCATGCCTCGCAGCCGCGGAAATCTCACGCCGCGTATAACCAAACGACCGACAGCCGTATTATCCCCTTAAGCACCCCCTAGTGTAGATGCAGGTGCTGGGATTATGTAGTTTGTACATAGCCTCTACCTTCCTCCCCCCCCATTCTTTGCTCTCTTAAGCTTGGATGCCGGAATAAGTTTCGAGGGAGCCTTAGGGCCGGTTAGTGGCTATCTTTGCTTACGGGTCCATGAGCGAACCCCCATGGGCAACAAGGCCCAGTCGCAAGATCTACATCCATCCAGGTGACGATGAAGATCCTTCGACCGGCAAGGTTGTCCGGTATGAACCCGCCTCCCATTTGTTGAAATAGATCCCAACAGCTCAGGTGCCTGCGTGGATGACGAGGGTATCCTGGTTGTTTCACTAACAGCTAGTAAGTAGCTGGCTGACATTATGGAAAGATACGAGAATGGTAATGGAGCTGTGTCGAGCAGCATTAGTTCCCCGAGTAAGTGCGATGTACGGCGTACTCTCACCAAACCCCCAAACTTCCCCCCCCCCAAAAAAAACCATAACCAGCCAAAGACCACATCTAGTAGCTGATCATCCAGTTCAGACATAGGAATACTAGTCAGGTACTACATCAGCTGTATCTAACAGGTGTCAGAAGAAATGCCCATACTCCACTCACTCTTCGAATTAGTCGGGGTCAATGCCCATGGGCCATCCTCCGGGGTCAGATGATATGACGACTCGTGCGCTGTGGGATGTCAATTACGAGTTCACAATCCATGCTTATGGTAGCCTGGGATTTTGCCGTTCTTCTCTCCTATCTCAAGGGTGGTGGCGGCATTGCCAGCTCTACTTATGGTTGCCTCGCCATGCTTATCCGCTTTACTGCTGATTACTACTAATTAGGGATACCGGAACTCTCGATCATACCAGTTGAATCTGATGTCTAGTGTGTTACTATGGAGTTCACCCCGATAGACTAATTATATGCGATACCGTGACTGGGGGGGTGAATAGTACAAACATCTCTACTATGCGTGTATAGTATATAGTATATATATATATATATATATAAATGAACAGCTTCATCACACCTGAGGTAGACTGAGTCGGCAGCAAAGTGCATTAGTCCTGATTATGGGCGATCAATACCTAGTACACAGCATGTATTCTTTCCGTACCATCCATGTGGTGCGTGACTGTCAGCCCGATCGGAATGTCTTCATGCCTTCCGCGATTGGACTGAAGGGCTCCTCGAAAATTGAGTGGACCCCGATCCCCCGGGAGCCCATCCATGGATTCCCTTTTTAAGTTAGGTATCTCGCCAAGAATAAAATAAAAAAAATCTTATATAGGTATAAATATTTTTTCTTCATTTTTATGAACATGCTCGTATTATGGGAGGGGGAGTAGTATGATTGTCGATGGAACTAGTAATTAATCGCCCCATTCTCCGGTTAGAAGAAAAGGGACCAGATGGAACTTCATGGGACCCAAGTAAGATGTGTCAGCCTTCTCTGGTGGCTTGGGTGTTCGGGATTGCAATGTACATGGATGGGGCAACCGCGATTCAGAATAATTGCATTCAGCTCCGTCAATCAATCACAAAACGCATGACAAGACGGAGTGGAAAGTAACCTATTGTGACCTTTGCCCCAAATTTCGGTGACCCGGGGGGAGATTTCTCGGAAACCAGACATACTGTTAGGAGCGATCTTACCGTGAGCATCGAGAGAGAGAGAGAGAGAGAGAGAATAATTCCCGATGACTATTTTTCAAATTCCGATGTATTTCCTATATCCATATGGTATCGTCATTAGCCTGTCATCCATTCAGTCAATCATCTTTTGCCTCCCCCTTTTTTTTCCCCGAGAGGCTTCTTCTGTTTACTGCACTTCGTATTGAGATCCAATACATCCATGACAAGTGCTGTCGTACATCTATAACATCCAATACGTAATTGTTTCAATACAGCCCCATACAGTCATACAATGATACATAGTCATACGTGCCTATCCACACCCCCATACCTCAGCTGCCTGTTACTTTTCCTATTCTGGTGCGTACAAGCCTTCAGCTTGATCAGCACCAACTAAACTAGCAGGCCAGATCCCTGTCACTGGCCACCCCGCTGCTTCCACTGCTCTGGGACACCGAGAAAGGGAGGGTGGATGAGTGGCTAGCGATGTATATCTAGTAGTGGTAGTGGTAGTTTAGTTCTAGATCACCGTCCTCAATCTTTCCGGAGGGTCCAAGGAAACCAACCAATGCAAATGATTATATTTATTATTTCACTCTCTTTTATTTATTTTTTCCCCTGCTTTTTTTTTTTCTTTTCTTTTCTTTTTTTTTTTTTTTTGGTTTTCTTATGTTGCTTTTCTTTTCTGTTCTTCTGATTCAAGAAATAAAGTAGGAGGAATTAATTAAAGGGAATCAAGACGGCCCGAACAAAATAAGGGAAAGACAGAGAGAGAAGGGGAAAAAAAGAAAAAGGAAAAAAGCCGAATAAACTTACCCAAGAAGACAGGCTGAAGAATCAAGCCGTATATTTGCTTATTGGTGATCCCCCATTGTCAAAATCAATGTCATAGCCCACCTCGTTGCGACTGCCGGCTACAATCCATTGTCTCTCTCCACTCTTCTTCTTCCTTGCCCTACTCAAGAGTTTATATACATCTGGAGCCACTCTGGTCAATTCTTCCCTCAGAGACACGCTCAGCTTGTGGGGAACTCAAATTTCCATTGCTGATACTGATGTTTGCTTTTTGAGATCTTGATCTTGATCTTGACTTGATACCCTATATATTTTATTTGCTTGTTCCCGACCTGTTTGCTTCTTTACTTCATCATAAACTCCCTTTGCTTGGTGTCATATCAACAAGCAGCGTGGGCCCTGTCTTTCGAAGATAGTGGGTGAGTGACAAAGTCTTTCAAATCAACAAGACTTACCCCGCGAGGACAGTTTCGGACATTGTAGATGGGTTACTGAGACGTGATAGCAGGCAGTATCCTATTCTTCCCATCGGACTATCTTGCTGTCTCTGTTCCGTTGCTCATCTTGCTTTTCAGACGCTTGCAATCAGCTCGGTAGGAGTTGAAGGCTCTTTAAGGCCCAGTGGTGGAGAGAACGCAAAGTCCAGCAACCCTTTCATTGCTAGTTTGTCGACATGGAAACCGCAGAACCAGTTTCATACGAATTCCCCGGCCACGCCGTTGGGGCTGTTGCGCCTCGTCGAATGATGGGCTCGAATGTCGGCCACAACTTCCCATTTTATACCAACCCGACTGGTGGCTATACACTTCCGTTTCATCAATCTTCGTCACCAGCGTATAGCTTCGGACACACACTCAACCACCATCACCATCATCACCACCATCATCCGGGCTACCAGCATTACTTTGTAGCCGGCCAGCAGCCGATCAATCCCCAGCCGGTCCGTCTATCCTCTGAGCCGCCATCCATCCAGCAAATTCCCGATATTCGGCCGGCCAAGAATGCTGTTAATCGTGTAGCCAGGGATCCTCTGATGAAGATCGAGCACAATGGGGCGTCACAGCAACCTCCCGGGGCCCAGTCCTCGAGTAACGAAGAAGGTGCACAAGGGAAGAGCTCCAGCTCCAATGAGGTGGAATTCTCGACAGAGGTAGATATCTTGATGAAGGCAATCCAGGCCAAAGCCAGTGCTCAGTCACCCGGAGTACAGTCTCTGCCGCCACTGCAACAATTGACACACGGGGGAAGCAATGGATACCCTCAGAGTTATTCAATGCCGGTGACGACCCCCCGGTGCACTGTTATGGTCGAAGAAGCCCCATCGCGATCAGGCAAAAAACGCAAGTATGCTTGCACTTTACCGCAGTGCGGCAAGAGCTTCGCGCAGAAGACGCATCTGGATATTCATATGCGGGCTCACACGGGGGACAAGCCCTTTGTAGGTGGCATGAGAATAGACACTTATTGAAATATGACGCTAACCTAACCTTTCGTGCTAAGGTGTGCAAAGAGCCTTCATGTGGACAGCGCTTCTCTCAGTTGGGTAATCTGAAGGTGAGTTATTGGACGTTCGGCAAAAAAGCCCCCTATAAGAAGAGCATCAACAGCATTGAAGATGTTGCAGGCCGTCTAACAGAGACAATTGATAATTAGACTCATCAACGACGCCATACTGGAGAAAAGCCATTTTCTTGTGATATATGTCAGAAACGATTTGCTCAACGAGGCAACGTCCGTGCTCACAAGATCACCCATCAACATGCCAAACCATTCACTTGTCTCCTGGATGACTGCGGAAAGCAGTTCACCCAGCTTGGAAACCTTAAGGTGCGGAGACCAATAATTCATCAACCCCGAAACCAATCCCCTCAATGATAGCTGACTGCTATAACAGTCACACCAGAACAAGTTCCATGCCACAACCCTACGAAATCTTACTATGAAATTCTCCCAAGTGACAGAGGGAGATCACATGAGCCCACAAGACAGAAAGCTCTGGGAATACTTTGCCACTTTGTATAAGAACAGCAACAAAGGAATCAAGGGCCGCGGGAAAGATCGCAGGATCTCGCCTACTTCACGGTCTGATCCTGGCTCCGAATCCCGCAGAAGGATCGAGCCACTCAGCAGCACTGATGACAAGATGCGCCGAGCAAGCTATGGAGATACATCTATGTATAACGGAGGTTCTAGCAGCGATGACGACGACGCAGAACCATACTTTATTGAGAGGCAGGCTCATTGATATACCGGCCTTCTTCATATTTCTTACAATCTTGTCGCGTCATCCACATTCCCCTCTTTTGTTATTACGATACCAGTCTCGTTCGTGTTGATTTTATCTGCCTTATACTTCCCGCATATCATGTTGAATATGGTGTTCGCGTGAATTAGGGCTTTCACAGACGTTTTCGTTCGGCTTAAAGACTCTTCTTATGTACATCAGCGTGTTTCCTTTCATTCTCATCCCTTTCCTTGGACATATATACCTGTGGTGGACAAAGTCTTTTTAGTATGTTCTGGTTCTCATCATGTTGATCCGTATGATTATATCAAAACTGCTACAACTAACAATATAATACATGCTAAGTTCCGGTAAATAGACATCATTGATCGCAGGTGACTGGAACCTCAACGAATATTTATACACAAAGACCATACAAGATACAACCTGCACACGGGCCCGGCGGACGCGAGATCCGAGCAGCTGTGTGACATATGTCAGGTCCGATAGGTAGTTGCTTCCGCTTTCCGCTCAGATAAGGAGACAAGTTCCCCTCTATCGAAGGTTGGAAAACAACCTTGGTAGATACGCTCTTGTATTTTCATACACCAGGAAAGTGACCCACGTACTGGGCAACACGCGCAGCAAATTGGGGCCAAGACCCTTATAGAAGCCAGTGATACCTTCTCTAGCCCAAATCTGAGCAACGGCATCCCTGACGCCCGAATACACGAGGTGAGCATCATATGTCTGTAAACGAGACCGCAACACCTGATACGGATAGGTAACACACCCGGCGAATAGTTTTGACAAGCTCGAGATCACGAATAAGTCCACATTTCCCAGCTCCCGTATCCCCGACCGGGCCGCGTCCGACGACGACACATGGCTCCAATCAGCATCCCGTCGAACGCCGGTTGTTCCGGCCGAAGGAGCCATCCGGGAGCGATGCAGTTTCAACTGCTCATACGCCATGAATTGAAGTGCACCATGGCTGACTCCAAACAGGGCTGGAACCAGACCCCGATAAAAGCCCGCAATACCCTCCGAGCGAAGAATTTCCTTCGCACCCGTCGTGAACGACGCGTATGCCCCGGGGCTCTGGGATCCCGTCGACAGCATGCGGGTTTTTATCACCCAGATCGGATTGGTTAGCGCGGATGTCAACATCCCTGTGAGAATCAAAATTCCGTGAATTAGCCTCATCTCCCGCTTCGGAACTGCATACCCGGTGCTTTCTTGGGAGAAAACATCGCAGGTCTGTTTCTTTTCTGCTTCTGGAGCGTACCTGCGGATCCTGAGGCTAGGAAGTAGTCGGCCGAGGTGAGGGCCTGGTCTTGAGAACCACTACGCCAGCTGCGCATCACGCCCTTGATGTTGCCGTAGCACAAGAAGTAGAGCGCCCAACTTGTGGAATTCCCAAATATGTTGGGTGTCAGGCCTCTGTAAAAGGCTTTAATGCCGCCCTCATTCTGAAAGATCTCGCGAATCACTGGGACTGAACCGCCGACTCGTGAAGAGGGTAACCGGTCGACTAGAAAATATGGCAGATTGATACTGCGTTAGTCATAATTTGAATGCTGATCAAATATTGGAGATTGATCCGCGCTTCGCGACTTGTCTTCTTCCTCGAGAGATGAACCACTAACCTTGAAGTCGAGTCTTGATCAGATCTAGCGGATGCAGGCAGAGCGTCGAAGCGATTCCGGCCGTGAATCCCGCTACGGTCTCCACAAAGGACGAGGACAAGCCATCCTTGCCAGTCATTAACCCTTCGAGTCCTCCTGGAATGTGCCGCTTGCAGGTGTTTGAGATTCTAGCCGGAAGTGTCGGGAGGATTAAAGAGGTCCGGATTCGGTCCGGATTTGAGCTGGAGCTAAGATTCAAGTTCATCGCGCTTGGCGGGCCGAAGCGCCCAAATGTCCGAGGGAAACAACCGCATGGTTAGGAGACATTTCCTACGACTATTCACTACAATAAAATAAGATCATACATGCTGATATTTGATCTGGAGTCTGCTTCGCAGTGCATCGGTTGAGCTTACGCTGATACTTAATGATGTAGTCTCCCGGAAACCCTTTGCATGTATCCTCGGTCCTGCCCTGGACCTGTGTATGAAATTGAACCATTCGCGTTAACCAATACAAAACATGAGAACTGATCATAGTTTAAAAGTACATGTGTATCGATGTAGACTTCCAATGTCAACATCGACCCGGGGGTTTGAGATGAAAAAGGTTTCTCAGTCTGCTCGTATTCCGACAGGCAGTATTATTATTTGTCTGTCTACATCGCAGACGGAGAATCCAGGCGTTGCATGAGTCTGCCTGATGGACATTCGCCGTCCAGTATGCTGAAGCAACTCATTCCTCTAGGCGAGCGGCGAGAACAGCCTATATGTAGCGTTAGTGAGCTGGAATCGTCGGGAAGCGTCGGCAGGGCGCAGTCGCTCATACTTGAACAGAGAAGGCTTGGGTTCACTGTAAGTGTATCCTAGTCCCGCTTCCGTTAGCAAAGAAAATTTCCATCAAGAAAAATAATTCCATCACACGTACCGAGATAGACGATCAATGGCAGGTATCCACTTATGCAAACATAACCGTCAGTTTTGGTCAGGACACATTGCTCGAAAGAATCAAGATGCGACGAACTAGTGAATAGCAACTCTGGAGACGTCAATGACCTTGGAGATACGCTCCTAGATAGTAGGCATATCCGTTAGCATACCGAGACCAAGCGTGACTAGTTATGTATGACGGGCAACAGAGCACCGCAGACTAACCTTGGTTTCCTCGGAGAACTGAACCATATTGCCGGCTAAATCTTACGCGAATGTTGCGGAAATGAAGAAGGGATTTCCTTGCTGCTGATGCCGGTAAAGTTGAGATCAGGAAAGGCGGAAGTGTTGACGGAGTGACGGAGTGACGGGAAAGACGGGGGAGGTGAAGCTCAAAGTTTTCCGGGGCTAAAGTTGGATCAGTAAAAGCTCCGCCGATAACCTGGAGTCCGAGTCTCCATCGATCATCCTTCCAGCCCTTGTTCTCCCAGTACCTTTTTCTAACCTCCAACAACACTATTCTGACTACACAATTCCTTCTTGTCAATTCGACGTCTCTATTTTGTTTATTCAAGCGCCTCCCTCGTCTTTCTGTTCCTGTTCATTCGCTTGCATCCGGCCGAGGGGGCTTTTCAAGAGTAATACGTAGGCGCTATGTCTGGCGCAAGGCATTGGTAAGTGCTTCTCTTTACTCCATGTGATATGAATCCCAGTCATATCGGTCCTGACAATTGCTGGAATAGGGAGCAAGACAAAGAGGCCACCGTCTACATCGGAAACCTCGATGAACGGGTTACAGATAGCCTGGTATGGGAGCTGATGCTGCAGGCCGGGCGCATCGTTAACGTTCACCTACCGAAAGACCGAGTCACACAGTCGCATCAGGGCTATGGGTTCGTGGAATTCATCAGCGAGGAAGATGCCGAATACGCGTCACGAATCATGAACGGAATCCGCCTGTATGGAAAGCCCATCCGCGTCAACAAAGCATCCGCCGACAAGCAAAAGTCGGTGGAGATTGGGGCAGAGCTATTCGTCGGCAATCTTGATCCTATGGTTACGGAGCAAGTTCTTTATGACACATTCAGCCGCTTTGGAAACCTGGTCAATATCCCCAAGGTAGGACTTTATCCTTTCTATAGGCCTGTCATGCGGCACCGTGTCTCGGAGGGGAACTTACTAACCATGGCTGCTACTAGATTGCGCGGGATGACAACAACCTGTCAAAGGGCTATGGATTTGTGTCGTTCGCCGACTTTGAGTCTTCGGACGCGGCCATAACCAACATGAACGGCCAATATCTTATGAACAAGCAGGTCTCCGTGCAATACGCCTATAAGAAAGATGGGAAAGGTGAACGCCACGGTGATGAAGCAGAACGAATGCTGGCTGCACAAGCTCGTAAACATAACGTGCGCCCACCAACCCAGCCGCTACCTCCACAATTCTCAAACCCAGGGACACCTATGGTGCCAGCTGCGATGGCCAACGGTGATAGCTCTCGGCCAATGAGTACTAATCCACCAGACCTAAATATGGGCAGAGGTATGGCTCCTCCGAATGTACCGTTCCAAAACGTACCTCCTCCACAAGCAAGCCGACCCGTTCCACCTACATCTCTGGCGAACCCACCCCCAGGTTTACCAGCACGGCCGCCACCTTCTCAGGCCGGATATGGCGGGCCGCAGTCCTTCCTCCCACCAGGATTCAATGGTGCTGGTCAACAACCTCCCTTCCCTCAAGCAGCACCTCCGCCAGGCTTTGCTCCACCGGGGTTCGGTTCACCGGCAGGAACACCTGGTCCCCCACCTCCGTTGCCCCCGGGATTCCAGCAACCTGGCTATGCGCGCGGGCGTTGAGCATTCTAGGCCAACTTCCTTGGCTTGAACCGAAGACGAGGGGTTATTTGAAAAGAACAATTTCATCATCCTCAACCGTTACTTGGATTGTCGGATAATGACTACTCGACTTGATGTAACGACCCACAACCGAGTAGCTGTCAATGCCCTACGGAAGAACGAGGGCCGCGCCCGATATTGAACGGCTTTAGAGGCATCAACTCACAAGAGAACACTGACATATCCGCTTGTTATACATGGCAAGATTGAAATGCTAGTTTGAGCTTTAACGTTCGACAGGAAGGAGGAATGTGTCTGAATAGCCAGCCCTGATGTCCACAGTTCTCGATATCTCATTTGTGCTAAGTGGTAGCAAGAAATACAAAACTGAAACACTACAGCATTTCAATCGCCCATGTATGGTAATTGAGCCTTAATTGCCAACAATGATCCACGAAGTCATAAATAAGTGTTGACACAAGATATAAAGTCAATCTCAAGCCGGGAAGCCAGGACTAAATTTCGATGGCAATAGTAAAGAAATTCTACGCGCAGCAAAGGAGCTTCAAACTCATTCACTAAGGGAGGGTATAAGTGGAGGAGAGTCTGCTGGTGAGAAGCACATGTCAAAGGAAAAATAGAACGAGGGCAAAGCAGAATCGGGCGACTGATACAAACGTCATCAAGAGAATGACACGAACTTTGGGTCCCTAGGTCGGCCATCGGGACCGATGTTGTTCTTGGAAAAGCGCTGCTCCATGTAGATTCGACGACCTTCATTGAAATCCACTCTTCGCCGTTTCATGATCCGTAAGATTTCGCGTTTGGCCTGATCATCCAAGCCCGCCCTGGTGTCGCCCTCTGCAATATTGGCAGAGATATCAAACTCTGATGAGACCAGACCAGCTTCCACATCGCCGGCAAAAGTCGAGGGGAGACGATCGTAAATGTAATCGGGAACTGGCAGTAGAGGTAGCCATCGGGACCGGGTGAGGTAGAGCGCTATAGGCAGGTCAGGAAGGAAAACTTGGACGGCTTGCAAGTCTGAGGGGTTGGAAATCTCGCATACCTGTGCCACACACAACAACCGATATCGTGAGGAAGTAGAGAAGGTAGTAAGCCATGGTCAACGAGGGTCACCAGGCACTGGGGACAAGCTAAACAGCAGCGGGGATTAGGCTATATAGGTGTCTGAAAGCGTAGCGCGGCGTAGATCCAAGCTTCAATGCTCCTAAAGCGATGGGAATAGAACTGTCCACAGGGTTAAGGGATGTACAGTACTCGAGTCTGGCCGGCGTCTTGCCAGGGCCTGCTAGTTAGGAGGCATTTAGACAACAACGAGAGACAGTCGGGTCATACGTAAGTGTACGCATATGGAAGAGCGCGGAAGATGCAAGTGGGTCGAGGGTGCGGACGCGGCTGGAACGACATGCGGCGGCCCCCGTTCTCAGGCAGCACTCACAGGCATCTAACGAACCGCCCTGAAAATGGGTCTATTCCTAAAGCGGCCCGCTTAGCGAGGCTCTCAGCGTTGCCATTCTTGGCGTTGGCACACACAACTGAAACCTTCTAAGGGCTAGATATTAAGTCGTAGCTGGTATATACCGAACGGACTTGCGACGATTTGGATCTGTCCTCATCCCCCACCCAAGCTTCGAAAGAGACCTTCACAATGGCCGCCAACGTTTCCAGCGACCTCATCTGGCAGCTCACCCGTACGTCACTAGCACCTTTTTACGCATATCTTATCCATTATCCCAATGGAAACCCTAGGAGCCGTTTCGCGCCTCGTCTTCCCCGGCTAATGTTACGACTACCTCAACAGGCACCCAGAATGCTTTTCTGGTCAAGCGTAACAGCGGCGGTGGTTCTCAGTTCTCCCGTGACCCCCTGAACTTGCAGAACAAGCACTCTTTCAAGGTACGAACCCTGAACGCAAGGTCTGGGTCATGTTTTCGTGCTAATCTCAAATCACCTGCTTAGTACGCCGGCTATGCCAACACCAAGGTACTTTACCCGCGCTTCATGCCATAGAGATTCTTCTGTCAGGGATTGGATGTTTAACGCTGCAACAACAGGCGGTTGGTGTCCAGGCCACCGAGAACGGCGGTGTTGCTGTCATCACCAAGAAGCCCAGCAACCCCCAGCAGCCTGCCAAGAACGTCGTTACCGTGACCTACGGCCCTAACGCCTCCACCCGCAAGTAAGTCAATATGAGCAGTTGGCGTGCTGTGATGTCCGTGAGGGAGGCGCGACAGTCTGCTGATACTGCTCTCGCATAGGATCTACAAGGGTGTTGCCGACAAGACTGCCAAGAACGGCTACCGCGCTGATATCCGTGAGGACGCTGTCGCCCGCGTCAGCGCCATCCGCCGCTCCCAGAAGGCCAAGAAGGAGACTCCCGCTCAGAAGCCCCGCGGTGCTAAGGCCAGAAAGGCCGAGGAGAAGTCGGAGTAAATGCCAACTTTTCAATTCGGGAAGGGCTAGGAAGCATGATGTCATGAGAGCTGGTCGGGATGACCAGAATAGCGCCGTGCTGGCCAAGGGCGGTAACATCTATGTAATTTAGCAATACTGCTACCAGGCGGGCATTGTTCTCCGGCCAGGCCATTCAGAATGGAAACCAAAAAAATCTTGGGAAATTCAACACAACAACAAAAGAAAGGGAGGGTGGATGGAAGAGTTGCCATCATCATTTTGGACGCAGTGGTAACATCGGACTGACGGGAAAACAATCAGCCTTCCGCCTGCAATTGCCTGTGATGCCACCGGCCATGTTTTGGTAGGCTGTTGATTGCCGCCTGTCGGGCCGAAGTAGAGTGTAGAACCGATGTCGTAAGCACGTACCTAACCGCGAAGTTACCGTGAGACAACTATGATATCCGCCTTTTCCCGAAACCTTGATGGGTTCTCCGGTCGAACCGGTATATTCCTTTCGCCTGTGGGCTCCTGGAACGAAGGAATCGACGAGAATTGCCGGAATCTGGGGCGGCGTGTATGGGGGTCCTACATCCGAGGATGAATCTGAACGACTCCAGAAGTGACTAAGCAACCGTAAACCGGAAGCAACAATCCGGCTCTCATGGCAAAGATGGCATGTCCGGATTGCGGAGGAAAGATTTGGCGTGTGCCTGACGGTTTTGTTCCACAAGGACCCTGTAAACTTGGTGATGGTAATGAGGTGCTCTGGCCTTGATTGAGCAAAAGTCAGCTCGCGGGGACTACGTGAGTTGATGGTGGAGGATCATGTACTAAATAGAGCATACCTAGGGGATGGTGAACGGACGTCCAGGGTTCCGTAGAATTGTAACAACTCTACTCGACTTGCTGCCCACTGGGGTATGTAAATACATGCCTTTTCAAAGTTGCCGAGTGTACTAAATGGAGTGTATGTTTGGCCAATGTCATTTGGGAGGGGCCGGGAACCCTTTGGGACACCCGCGGATGGGCTGGATCTCGGTCACTGGAGACATAGCCTAGTGGTCTAGTAGTCTAGCAGCAGGACAGCTTCATGGTTAACCCCACATGTGATCCTCCGTCCGGTTTCCGTAGTATATAATGGACCTGAAGCTTCTCCCTCTCTCGATGCGGTTGAAACATAAATTTGCTCATAACGTATGTCCATCTAACCCTTTCATTGTTTCTTGACCACTGTCTCCTTTCTGGAAAAAAAAAGACTCTGGTAAGTATGGGCCTAGGATCGAGCTACTGATCCCCCAATCCTTCCTAATCCCTCTGCCACTTGCCCCGACCTGTTCACCGTGACCGTACCACCACCACCCCGCCCCCTCCTCAACTAAACCCCTCCCTTCCCCTCCCCCCTGATGTTTTCTCTTTTCTTTAATCTGACTGTCACCTCCCTCTCTACTTCTTTTCCCTCAATTTTCTTCTCCTCTTCTTACTCTCTGTCATCTGTTTCGATACCCATACTAATCTCGCGTGCTTTTTCTTCACCTTCGTGTATAGATTTGTCACAATCCCAAATTTCACCATGGTTAAAGCGGGTGAGTGGCTCTTTCACGGCGCCTGCATTTCGACCCCGCTTTCTAGAACGAGAGCAACCCCAGACTAATCACTAATACATCTCGACAGCTGTTCTTGGAGCATCTGGTGGCATTGGCCAGGTACGTGTCCCTCATTTGTCCCTATCAGAACTGCAGCCCGCGATGCAGACCTACCACATTCTTCAACTTTTACTGACTCCCCACGCGTTTCCCATCGGTTAGCCTTTGTCTCTCCTGCTGAAGACATCCCCCCTGGTTGACGACCTCGCGCTCTACGATGTTGTGAACACCCCCGGTGTTGCTGCCGACCTTTCTCACATCTCCTCTGTTGCTGTATGTGTGACCGTACCACAACGCGCTCCCCTATGCCAAACAATTTGACACCCTTTCTGACATTTTCGGCAGAAAATCTCCGGATTCCTGCCCAAGGATGATGGATTGAAGCACGCCTTGACTGGCGCTGACATTGTTGTCATCCCTGCTGGAATCCCCCGTGAGTGTATCACCTCCCCTGTTCCTAGAGGCGTCTGACTGACAAAGCCGCTGCTCATAGGCAAGCCTGGGATGACTCGTGATGATCTCTTCAAAATCAACGCCGGTATTGTGCGCGACTTGGTCAAGGGTATCGCTGAGTACTGCCCCAAGGCATTTGTTTTGATCATCTCCAACCCTGTCAATTCGACTGTTCCCATCGCCGCAGAGGTCCTTAAGGCTGCTGGCGTCTTTGACCCCAAGCGTCTCTTTGGTGTTACCACTCTGGATGTTGTCCGCGCGGAAACCTTTACTCAGGAATTTTCTGGCCACAAGGACCCATCTGCTGTGCGCATCCCAGTTGTCGGTGGCCACTCGGGAGAGACTATTGTTCCCCTCTTTAGCAAGGCCGCTCCCGCTTTCCAGATCCCGGCAGACAAGTACGATGCGCTAGTCAACCGTAAGTGGACCGTGCAGTCTCTTGGCAATTGAATCGTTTATTGAACCATATGCAGGCGTTCAGTTCGGTGGAGATGAGGTTGTCAAGGCCAAGGATGGTGCCGGCTCCGCGACCCTGTCTATGGCCTACGCTGGCTTCAGGTTTGAGTCCTTCATTTACAAACATTTGGTGTCGGGGCTAACTTCATATCAAGATTTGCTCAGAGCGTTATCAAGGCTGCGCAAGGCCAGTCGGGTATCGTCGAGCCCACCTTTGTCTATCTGCCTGGTATCGCTGGCGGCGAAGATATTTCCAAGGCCACTGGCCTCGAGTTCTTCTCTACCCTCGTAGAACTTGGCGTAAGTCATTCATTATGTGATATTTGAATATTGGGCATCACTCTGACTCGACAAATCAGACCAACGGGGCTGAGAAGGCCATCAATGTACTTGACGGCGTGACTGAGAAGGAAAAGACGCTCATCGAGGCCTGCACCAAGGGCTTGAAGGGCAACATCGAAAAGGGAATCGAATTCGTCAAGAACCCCCCACCAAAGTAAACGCGCCCACCCCAGTCCTTGAGTCACAGGATTTCCAATCATCAATAGGTGATATGCCAATATCGCACCTTTTCACCGCCGGGGAAATATCTTTCGGTGGTTGCATCACAAGTTCACGGACATGGAAGGAGCCTTGCTAATCGTTGTTATTCTGGGGAGATAGGCTTTGAATTATGTGACTCTGCAGACGAATGGGCGATAGTCGATGGATTGGTCTGACTCAGTATTTATGACTTCGAGATACGAGTGACCTGTTTAAATGATAAAACCATGTATTCTTCATGCCCGCACTCAAATGTTTGTAGGATCATCCAGCAATCCTTTCGTGAGACCTGTAGCTGCAGCATATATCCCCAGAGTGCTGCATGGGATTGACATCCAAGCTTCCCAGTGATGAACGTATACTGTACGATTGATTGCCCTGGATAAGGTTCGAAGCCGTCTATGTCTGAGCGACATCAGGGCTTGGGGTTGACGGTTTTGATTTGGAAGGTTGCGCCTGGAAGCTCTGTAGATTCCGCTTGAACTGTGGTTGTAATACCAAGGTTTGATAGAGCACCGCGAATAACACCGCATGGAAACCATAGATACTATAATTTACCGCAAGTCGTTAGATCATGTAAAGTTGACATGTTGGGGGATACGTGTATCCCGGGACAAACACACCGCTTGGGCCATAGATACCGCCTCACTTCGAACAGACGTACTCATCCTTGCAAATGGTCGAAAAGAGTTATCAGTCAAGACATACACGCCCTGGTAGTGCAGGTATTAGCCTCTTCCCCCAAAATGCGAACCAGGGCACTTCATAGAGATTTGGGGCCGCATTTCGTTCTGCCTACCCGGTGATTCGTTTTCAGGTTATCCACCTGCTTTTTAAAGAGTATCGTCCATAAGTCCTTGCACAGGAACTTTATGATGTCTAGGTTATCTGCAAATCGTGGGCGATCGCGCGAGAATCTGCTCCGGTCGACAACAGATATGCATTAGCTGCGGGACTTCCATCAATAGCACCTGCGATCTGTCGGTGATCATGTTGTTCTTATGCATATCCACCTGTCAAATGGATTCATAACTTGGAGGGCCGAAAGGACGTCGCAAAGGCGAATAGCGGACTTTCAAGCGTACCGTTCAGCCAACCCTTGTCCAACCCTGTAACCTAGAGATTCGAGGCGAAAGAATGTAGTTTCCCGGATTTCTTCATCATCTGGTAGCTTCTCTTCTGACGCAAGTTCTTTCGCTAAGCGCTCCGCCATGGGGACGAGCTCTATCAGGAGGAAATCAAGACAAGAGGCACCCAGGAGCCGCGCGTGAGGATCTGAAGCACTGAGGGATGAAGCTGGTGTATCCAACGACATTGTAAAAGGTGTTAAAGTGACCACGGTTGTGGAGGAGCCTTATTATCGTAGGGTAGCCTGGATTACTCGAAGAAAGTGAACTCGGTGAATTTGTAATAGCAGATCACCCTTGTACGCTGGCGTTCTGCGGAGATTATGCGGCTCGGAGTAGGCCAGCCAAGCATGGTGACCGCCGACATATCCCAAGCTCCGACGGAGCGGCCCCTATCTACTTACAACCGATATGTCCCCTTACGAATATGAATAACCCGGCATAACGAGTGTTCTGGGTCCAACGCAGCAGAGCATTTACATCAGAGTCTTTGAATGACACCCCAAACTACGTAGAGTTCCCCGTAAGCGCGTTATGCGACCATTAAACATGTCTTTTTTCTGGAACGAATATTGGATCTAAATCTTCGTTGGCCATTGAAGTTAAAAGTAAATCTGTTTCCCTATCATGCTTTGTCCAACGCTCCCAATAAATTCGCGTAGTGGATATACCCATGAAACCGAATGCGCCCGACACCTTGCAAGTATGCTTCAATAACTGCGTGCATCATAGCCACCAGCATGATTAAGAAAATCAGAACTAGGCTGGCTGGGTAGTTGAATGTCTCCGTTGGCATAGCCACCGCTGTAAGGGTTGCAGAAATCCTGCTGAGACGAGGGTCGGTTCATCTGGTTAAACGCTGGCCGTTTTACAGGTCTGACTGGAGCGTCATCCTCCTCATCACTTCCCGTAAGGTCGATCACCTGGGCAGCATTACGCTTGTTTGTCGACAAATAAGCTGCAGACGATGTCGCTGAGGGTTCTCGGGACTGAGTAGGTGTTTGGTGTACGAAGAAAGATGGCGGTGGGAAGGACTCTCGCTTGATGGGCGTAACCCCGGGTTCCCTTATTTCTATCAACTCGTCGTCATCATCTGTCGCCGGAGTATATCCGCCCACTTTGGCAGAGTCTTCCTGAGTAGGGCTAGACCATCGACCATCTGGCTCTATGATAACTTGTTCAACATCTAGAGAAGTTGAACGAAGTATATCATCGACGTACCTATTCATTGAAATGTCAATACCTGCACAAAGATTCGAGTCAAGTGTTTCTGTCTTACTGGTCAATCTGCAACGATTCAAAACTCGTCGCTTTAGAACAGACAGGACACGACCAAGTTGGGGCTTGTTCTTGGAGTTGCAAGAACGAAGATGCGTCAAAACACTGATTGTGTGTGCAGATTACAGAACGACAGGGAACCTCTATTCGGAGCGTCGATAAAGGGCACTTGAGCGACATAACACTGGACGTGGCGACAATATCTGAATCGCCAGCTTTACTTCTCACTGTAGGGCATTAGCAATAACTCCGTTAATCATAGTTCCAGGCGCATACTCTCTCGTAAGACCTGCTCCTTCGAGATTGTCTTCCTCCTTTTCAATTCGTCAACAAGCTCTTCGACTGGATGTCGCTGGACAAGGTTGACCAGAACAAAAAAGCGCTAAACTCTGTTAGTCAAGCTCCTTAAAATGGGGTACCAAGTCAAAGTCCAGCGAGTATCATGCTGATAAAGTGATGATTGGCGGTCTTATACTTACCTTTTGCGTAAGGGCGTATGTCAAGACAATATTATTCGGGTAGCCTGGTTTCTTGCGAATATATTGCGTTACATCTGCTGGCCTTGTTGTACCGGGCTTATTTTTCAAGCCTCTCAAGTTGGCTTTCACTTCATCCAGGTTGGCCTTTAGTTCGACTTGGTGAGGAAATGCGATGTCGGATTTGGTATACTGATTAAGACCAGTGTCTGCAGCACAATACACCATCACCCGAATGTTGGGATCCGCTTGTAGCCTAGCCGCTACGGTTGGTGTGAGGATAACTTTGAGTTCCACGCTGTCCCTAGTTTGTTCGCGAACTTCATGAATTATTAGATGTGAACTGTCACTGAAATAGGACTATACTGCCAGTGCCCTACCTTTGCATTCCGAGGCAGAAGTCAATGGCTCTATAACGGTGTAGAATGGGCTGTCTTTGAAGGTTAAACGACCTGTATGATAGTGAGAAACCATCGCAGCCTCGGAGTAGATGAGAATATAAGTGAGTACCAGATGTTTGTCCATGTGGTGGCATTGGTATGCTCAAAGGTGATGGTCTATGCTGCGTGTGCAAAGGTTGGTTGACGGTATGTGGTTGATAGTGTTGGCCGGGGACTGCTTGTGTGGTTGGAGACATAGGTATTGGCCGACGTGCCGTAGCATAGATAAATTTTCTCAAGTCATCATACTGTTCAACATGGCCTCCTTGGTTGAGTCTCTCAATGTCTATTGCGTTTCATGAAGAGTTAACAACTTCGCAAATGAATTCTTGAACTAGGCCTAGAAAATAGAAGCCAACATGAAACAAGGTATAACGAACAGTCAATGATCCGTAGCTGCAACGAAGCTTTCACTCCTGAGACAGCAAGTCCTTCGTTCCTGAGTATATCCTTAAGTTGCGCATTGGTCAATGTCTTGACTAGGGCAACAAGGCTTTGTGTATCCGAAAATTGACCAGTAGAGGCCATGACTAGGGTTTAAAGATGCTAGCCAGTGACTAAATGAGCATGCAGGCGTTATCTCAGGAAGAAAGATGGCTCAAGACAATTGCGCTATGCTCAACAACGCTGTTCAAAGACATCTCAATACTCCAGAATCTTGGGCAAGTGGAGATGGGGAGATGTGATTGCTCGAGTCTGGTATGACAAGTATTTGAAGTCGGTCGAAAGCTAACAATGAAAGGCCCTGAGTGAGCTAGATGCCAATGACAACCTATACACGATCAACCAGGCCGGCGGCGATTGCGGAGGTGAGAAGAGCCTCTTGATGTGATGACATAAGATTATCCACCGCGCTTGTGTTACAAACTTCCCTCCCAAGAAAAAAAAAAGTGGTGGAACGAAAAACAAAAAAGGCAAACCGGCAAATACAGGCGGCGAGTCCTACAGAAAACTTTTCACTACACACACTTGATCTCTGGATTAAGATCTTCACAAAGTGTCATCATTGATATCGCTACATTCTGTCTTCTACAAACTTTACTTTTACCCATAACTCTTCTTTGCTATTCGAAATTAGCCGACGAGCACCATGGCAAAGAGCGTCCGGGCGAGTGTTTCCAAGCGCAATAGAGCTAAACTTCGAGCCACAGTCTTTGGGCCAGCTGTCGATGCAAGGACTGAAAGACTTTCTGCGAAGCTGCAAGAGCTAGCTTCTCAGCCTCGGCCGAACGAGGAAAAGCCAAGCATGGAATTGGATAATGCAACCACAGGTATGTGAAAATTCCTCGATATATCCGGACCACAGCTGACGTGTTATGCGCAACTCAGACAACAGCGGCGACAAAGTAACTGGCAATGTATTGAATTCCACTGGAGGTAAGCTAGATGCAACCAGATTTTCTATTTATTAAGATTGTTTGCCAACCATTTTATGCCACCCTCCCTGCTAACCTAACTCTTTCACAGAGATGGATATCGATCAAGGAACTGCTAAGGGTGGGCATGCTCACACCAGGAAATCTGGACGAATCCAGAAACGTCATAAGAAAAGTCGTTCGTCCATTGTCTTCCGTCCTCACCCATCAAAGGTTAAAGGAAACTCAAAGAGACGGTGAAACGTGTGGCATGTTTTGCTTCATTCGTTGTGAAATAGTCGGGCTTCTGTTCATATATGGAGTTTGGCGTTCTGTGGGAGAAGTGGCCTATTAACTACCACTGTTTTAGTTATTAGTTATTTTTGTCTTCCTGGGACATTTCAGGAAAGGGGCAGAACTTTGGAGTCATGCGATAGCATTTGTGGACGCCTTCACGCATCTGATCCCCTGTATTTCAGCCGTAGAAACTTTAACTGGGCGTGGATCTTGGTTTTGTCAGGGCCGAGTATGGCTGCAATGTCATTTCCAAGCGGATGCTTGAGACTTCAAGGCTATATTCCCTCTGCATGCACGAGCGTGATACAAAACTTGTATGCTAAAGCTACAAAGGATTAGTAGATGGAATATCAGATAAATAGCATGGCTCCTGTAATTCTGTGATTTACAAACTATGAAGTACTATCTAGATGCCCGGAAATAACCCCACAGGTCCCATTTCAGTAGGCGGTATACGACATCAATATATGCGACTGTCCCCTAGCAGTTACTACCAGTGGTCATAGCATAACCCGAATTTCGCACCTCATATGAAGTAGTAGCCTCGGATGTCTGATTTTATGTTGTGGCAAGCTACTTAGAGGGGAATAGACACTCAATGGCCATCCTACCACGAAGTTGGGCGATAATCATCGCCAATGTATTAACCCCCTTAGCTGTCTTAGTGTTCTCGTCTGGATTTTTCCCTTATAAGCCATTGATACCAGGACTTGCAAAATTCGAGGATGGCGGCAACTACATGGCAACCCCAAAGGTTTTTGACAAAGTCATTTTCATGGTTGTCGACGCTTTAAGGAGGTATGACTGTTCCGAAATGCTCCCGGCTTTTCGTGCCTCCAGCTGAAATTACTCAGTGACTTCGTGTACTCTAATAAGTCCGGGTTCCTGTTTACCCAAAGGTCAGCAAGAGTAAAACTCAAACAAGGAGCTATCTATCTAACCTTTGTTCCCATAGCCTGATTCGATCAGGAGCTGCACTGCCATTCACTGCTTATGCTAGTTCGCCAACTGTCACAATGCCTCGACTCAAGGCAATAACGACTGGCTCAATACCATCTTTTCTGGACGTAATTTTGAATATTGCAGAGTCCGATACTTCGTCGACTCTAGCATATCAAGATACCTGGTTAGCACAGTTGAAGGCAAACGGAGGCCAGCTTGTCATGTATGGGGATGATACTTGGCTCAAACTATTCCCTGGGATGTTCGAAAGAGCAGATGGTACCACAAGTTTCTTTGTGTCGGTCAGTAGATGCAAACGGGCTTACATTGGTGAACCCAATGTGAAAGCTAAGCTGGTTCGCGCAGGACTTCATCGAAGTGGACAACAACGTAACTCGTCACGTCTCTACTGAGCTTCTACGTGACGACTGGTCAGCATTCATCATGCATTACCTTGGACTAGATCACATTGGGCACAAAGCAGGCCCTCAGAGGTAAGGGAAACCAGTCAGCTTTTGGCTTCGGCGCGGGCTGACAAGTATTATACAGCCCTTACATGACAACAAAGCAACAGGAGATGGACTCTGTTGTCGCTAATATATATATGAGCATGGAGCAGCAACAACATTTGCAGTCCACTCTTTTTGTCTTATGTGGTGACCATGGGATGAACGATGCCGGGAATCATGGCGGCTCATCCGTGGGTGAGACATCGCCCGCATTGCTCTTTATTTCTCCTAAGTTTCAGACCTTGGATATCCTCAGACAGTCTCCGACAGACTCGCATAGTGACTTCCAGTATTACCGAACCGTTGAGCAAACAGATATAACTCCGACTTTGGCAGGACTCTTAGGCTTACCGATACCTTTGAATAGTCTGGGAGTCTTTATCCCAGAACTCCTTGATTTGTGGGAAATAAGTATGTATACATCTTCCTTGCTAGTCCGTGTAATTGTAAATCATACTTATGAATGGCCGGCTCAGGATCGCAAAGGACTGAAGTGTTGCTCTCGAATTCCCGACAGATATTGAGAAAGATGAAAGAGACGTTTCCTAGCCACAGTTTCGATATCAATTCGATGAACATCGCTTGCGACACCGGGCCTTTAGCCGACGTCGATCGGGCGCTCTGCGCATGGTTTCGGGTCGATCGCTTGCTTCAACACTCCAGCGGAACCGACAAGGATGGTTTTCATGACGAGCTTGAGTCGACATTATTTGAGTTCTTGAAGCATGCACAGAAGGTAATTAGTAGCGCAGCTAGTGACTACGATCTCAGAAATCTTTTTCTGGGCTTAGCCATCACTTTTTTCGTTGTCCTGCTTCCTCTCCCTACGACTTACACTCTGCTCTCTAAGTCTGGGCCTGCGGGGGCATTCTTTACACTGTGTCTTCTAAGCTATGGTGGCATGATGTTCGCTAGTAGCTATGTGGAGGAAGAGCAACAATTTTGGAATTGGACGTTTACTGCGTGGGTATTCTACCTACATGTAAGATCATCCATTCTTCCGCGTTGTTCCGTGCCCTCACAGGAGAGGAGTACAGGATTCTATCGCTTATATGAGTTGCTGTATTCCAAGTATGGTGCGTTGGCGCTGCTGCTATCACATAGGGTTCTGAGGCGCTGGAACCAAACGGGTCAGAAATTTGCTACTGAACCAGACATCGCCCGGACATTTTTCACTTCCCACCGGCTCATACTCTGGTTTCTCGTTATATCAACATATGCCATGACCTGTAGGCACCTTTTGGCGCACCGTCGTCTATCAAAGCTTTGGCAACTATGTTGTGTCGCAGTGGTATCGAGCGCGTTTTTCTTGAAGCTGTCATATGTGGCATCAGATTCCCCTGAACTTCTTCCTGAAGCTCTGCTTGTTCTTTGGAAGAGGGAATTCGATGGAGGGTCTACCGTCCTCTTTACGCGGCTGGTCGTAGTGGGGATTCTGTTTCTCGTTCCACTGTCAATGTGCACCAGCAATACCACGCGACTGCGTGAGACGAAAGGCAAGTCTGAATCAATTTCGTCCCGAACAATGACTAACATGTTACAGTTGTCCCGAGTACCGTCTTCCATGACGTTCTCACCCTTTTTTTGGTAACTCAATCAAAGGCGACGAACATTCCGGCATTCCTGATACTCGGGGCCCATGTCACTATACTTGCTACGATGAATCTTCACGCCCTCGAGCTAGCTATTACATCTGTGATCGCGCAGTATATGACCTTCTTCGCATTTGGCGGTTCAAACTCCATAGCCACCGTTGACTTGTCCAATGCATATAATGGCATTGGCACCTACAATGTCGTCTTGGTGGGTATCTTAACATTTATAAGTAACTGGGCAGGGCCAATATGGTGGGTATCGGCTGCTCAGGTTCTCAGGCTAAACCAGGCTAGGCATGAAAGAGAGGGTCACATGGCTGTTCTCACTTTCCACATGGCAGCCACGTTGATGTCTGTCATGGCGGCATGCACGATCTTGAGGTCGCATCTCTTTATCTGGACGGTCTTCTCCCCCAAGTACCTCTATGCAATGGCGTGGGCTATCCTCAACCATTTGGCCGTTAACTTGTTTGGTGAGGTCTTGCATGTGATATCAACAACACTGCCGAACCATTCACGAGCGGAGTGATTATAATGTGAAAGCAGAGGGCGAGAGAAAACTGAGCGGAACCTAAGAGATAGGAATGCTCTGCATATTTAAGTTATGCTCTTTAAAATGTATATCTAGTGGCTAGCGTTCAAGTCATGTCAGCGAGACCCGCTTTCTGCTCCTATAGAAGGCTATCGAATAGATCATCGATAGCATCCTTTTTCCGCTTCTTCTTTCGCATGCTTTTCTCTTTCGAGCCTACGGTGCCTTTCGGGGCCTTTAGAGATCTCTCATCGCGAGCTCGACGTGAGCTTCCCGGGACTTGAGTCCTGTGTGGCAAAGTGGGTGTTGAAGAACATGCAGGGCGGCAGAGGACGACTCCCATGTCCTCTCTTCGTTGCGCACCGGTGCTGTAGACGGGGCCAGTGGAAGCCTTTTCTGTGTTTGATGGCAACTTCAACTCCTTATCGATCTCTGTAGCTTTTGCCAAACGGGCAAGAGTGGCTATCAAGACTGTTCCCAGAGTAGAGAACTGTCCATCGGCAACAACTGCGGAGAATGCTCTGGATATCAAATCAGCAATTGTGCTTGGCGGCGTCGGATGAAGCGAAGTCGCTGAGATTTCGTTTGTTGTTCGCTCTCCTAACTTACTGGTAGCACTTCGGCATAACATAGGTCAACAAGTGATGTCTAAGTTGATCAGCAGAAGACTCAACACTGCCATATGACTGCTGATGGTCAAGGGATCTGGCGAGCTTCAAGGTGACTCGTTTCAATATCGACAACCATTTCCACCACTTAGTCCCTCGATGTTGGTTTTTATTTCGATGAAAGATCAAATGAAGTATAGAATGCACCGCATAAACTCTTTCCACATCGGTACTCATTCTCCGCCACAACAACGAGAAGACCCTACCGAGTATTAGCCTGGACGTGAGATGAGCGGTCCTGCGCTGTGTCAAAAAGCGGTATATTTGATGCAGAACAATGAAAGAGAAATCGCAACAATTAAGTGTGGCGCTTTGAATTATAGGTTGATGAACTTTGTCTCGGAGCCTACTTGAGTTTTTAAGACTTCCCGACGTTTGGGTTGGAGCCGATGGATAGATGATCTAAGTAACCGCCGCTAGGGATTAAATTCGTTAGCCTCTGTAACCTTGCCGAGCACCGACAGGTTAAGCTCCTTCGGGGAGAATACCCGAATACATGACCTACTGTGTACGTAGCAACTTCCCAATTGTCACGTAAATAAAATTCATAATTAATTGCAGACTATCATAATTGAGCAACATTTCCTAGGAGTTACTGGTCTGTTTTACCCCGGTCAGGCATGCCTTATCGTTGATAATGGTGGAGGCGTACACCTTTCAAGTACCACGGTGATGGCAATATTATGTAGACCGACTGCGTCGACGATTCCATTAAATTACTATCTGGCCTAGGCCATACACGGTAGTAGGATTCAATCATACTCCATTATCCCCGCTTCACCCATAGCGCCCCTGGGTTGCAGTGGTCTCATGTAAGGCTTAGGAACGCACTTCCACCACTCCATCAGAAAGACGAGAATGCCATGCAACGGAACTGATTTGATTCTTCTGGATGTATTCAAATCTCAGATTATCGGACATCCGAGGGATTAATGAACATTAGGAGTAGAGCACCGAAATCTCAGAGGATGGGTTCCAACATTCAGACACAACTTGAGACACCGTACCAAGCCAACCAGGGCCATAAGGTTTTCTCCCATGGGTCAAATGCTGGCCGTCGCTCCAATCGGGCGCTGGGTTCCGACATAGTAGCAGAAAACATGCAGAAACATGAAAAGGGAAGTTCTAGTTTAAAATGTAAAGAAAGCGAGTGGTAGTCGTTTAGTTCTACCTGTACGCTCTCCCGGGCCGCAAGCGTAGGCACGGCAATGTAGGCATTTTTCCTTGGTTATCTTCCTAGATTAGATGGGTATCCGGCTGACCAGAAGCAGCCCCTGAGGGTTATAGTGAGCTGAAGGGCTCATGGTCCGCTTTCGTGCACTGAATCGTGCCACATCTTCATCCCAGGATAAGTACAGGAGGTACTTCTTAGACCATTACCGACACCATAGGGACGTCTTGGTGCGAATGTTCGGACATATACTATTTCGCGCTCTGCTGCAGTGGTTCCACGATCAAATTGAGAACGGCGACGGCGCTGCTCGTCACGGTACTGCTGACCCACGCGCGGAGCAAAGAGTCCTAAGAGATGCTGATGAGTGCAATTCTTCCATGGCACGCAGATATGTGCTCTTACCAACATGTTCCGCATTTTCAATGCTGCGGCGCATTTTCGAAGGGTTGTCTGGTCCAGGAAAGCGATCCTCGGTGCCAGCGAGAGGACCTGTGCCGGTCTGAAAAATCTGCGAGAATAAGCCTGTTATCTAAAGTTGCGTCGACTGAATAGCAGGGATGGTATGGACCTTTGGTCGAAAGGACGGATGTTCCAGCATGACGGAGCTGTTACGGAACTTTTGCACCAAACAATCTTTTCCTTGTATAGCTGACCTGGAGTTTTAGATAATCCATAGCCTGCTTGGGATAAGCGAGCACGAACTTGCATAAGACACTTCAGCCACCTTGTCACTGTTGAAACAATTCCTGTACATGCGTTAACACAATGGAAATCTGTTAATACCTTCAGTCTCAGCATACCAGGTTCGTCCCGCTCTTGCGTTGACAAACTACATGAAATTCAGTGGTTACGACGAAGAGAGTTGAGACGATACTGACATCAATGATATCGATTGGCTAAGTATGTGTCAGTAGCGGCTGGAGAAGTCGCTGAATAAACTTACATCTTCGAAATTTATAAAGGCATACCCGACGCTGGCAGAGACATTATCAGATACTGACATTGGCGGCGATTCATAGGTTGGCAGCCATACTTGCAATTATTTGCGAAATCTGTAGGCATGGCATGGAGATTAGTCGTTTCATATCGACAAGTTTGACCGGGGAATGTCAACTTACCTATCCGTAAGTACATAAAATCATACTTTCCATGGCTTGTCTCATCCACAATAGCTTTGAGCATAGCCTTTTAATATTAGGATTTCCGAGTCTCCATGCTGACAATAGCATCTTTCCCTTGGAGTGTTGCTTACTTGATCGATTTTATTAGGGATGTTGCGCAGCATAATCTGCAAGTGAAGGTGCACGTCAGTTAGCATATTAGAGAGCATGGGCCGGTTATTATACCGTCGTTCTGACATCCAAGCCGAGACGTATTCTCTCTATATCGACTGCATTTTGGCTGCCCATGCGTAAATCAGGATAGCGACTAAGTTCGCGGCGAGGGGAGGGGAAGATTCTTTCACCAGCCTTAGACATCCAGTCTATGAGACTAGCATGTTCACCTGGGGGGACTGTGGAGCGACCAGTAGGGCTTAGCTCCATGAAAGAAGCACGACTTGGTCGAACTGAGGTCCACGAAGTGGCCTTTGTGAAAGAAGTCTCCTCGGCTGATGGGAACTCCTCTCTTGAAGACGTTGTAGTCATAAATGGCAGCTCGCACTTTCTCTCTTCCATATCTGGCCTGAACAGAGAGATATCTAGGATGCAATCCTTCAACAACTTTTATTAGCCACTTAGAGGAGCAGAAAAAGGATTTGTCTGCGTACATCAACCGATGTCCCATTAAGGGTGGTCAAAACATTATCAGCATCACGCGTGTTGAAGTACTCAATGTGAAATTCGCCAATATTCTCTTGCTCAATTGGTAGGGATGCAAAAGTCTTTATGTCGCCGAATGTCATAGAGAGGGTCTCAAGTGAGCGAGCAATAGTGTGCTGATTGAGGTTGGGGTTTCTCCCGTCATAGTAGACGGTCACAAGCAGTTGACCCTCGTAGTTAGAAGTTTGTGGCAAAAGGGAGGGCTCAACATGCTTGACATATTCTTTAGGGGCAATCGTAGAAACGTGCCACTCGGGCCTGAGAACCTTGACCTTTTCTATTGCCTTGGCCGCTTCCCGACTGTCCGTGAATGCGACATAGACCTTTCCCATGGAACTGAGTTCCGAGAGCACGGGGCCTCTGAGGGAGCTGAATTCACGACGCTGTCCAGCATACAATCAGTATCAATACTCCTTACTCGCCACCCCTGACCAGGGCAGTAAATGTATCCACTCTTCCTCTTGAACTCAGCCACTTACATTGAAAAATCCAGCCAAGGACATATAGGTGAGATTTTTCGGCACATTTTCAATAACCAGGGCTCGGCTATGGCTTTCACTGCCAAATGTCTCGTAGTCCCTGATAACCGGATGGTCCCTCGTATCAGCCTGACTGTTGCCTATAACTCCATATTTCAGTGAAAATCTGTCCGAGGCCTGGAGAGGGCCATTTCTAGCTTCGCATGGATCAATATCCGAGCTTGCTGTTAGATAGCCAGCGCCAGAAAAGCCTCGAGACAGTGAAGGTGCTTTACTTCTAATTGACGCATTGTCCGCCGTGCCAATTGGCGTGAAGCTTGCCGCTGTTGGTGAGAGTTGAACACGGGTAGAGGTGTTAGTCGACGCCAGGAAGGGGTCAGAGGATGACCTGATCTTGTCACTGACAGATCTGAAATTAAGATAGTCATTTTGTACACTTACGCCAGGTATAACTTCCGTGCCCCAATGTCGCCCAGTGTATCACCAACACTGGTGTCAGAGCGAAGGCATATAGATCGCATATCCTCTGGGGAATATGCTGTAAGCTTGGTGTCAGGGGACCCATTGGCAGAACCTATGTCATTTGTAGAAATAGGACTGCTCAAGCCGTGGGACGTGTCGTTTGGCCTCATTCTGTGAGGTTGTTGATGAAATCCAGTCAAATCTAGAATCTCTCTGTTTTATCGAATGTGGTCTGTCTTGGAGACCGAGCCCGGACTCACACAGTCAGATGAGGATAAGAAATACCTTACAGCGGAGCAATTCCAGGAAACCGTGTTGTTGAAGTGGAGGCCTTGGCCGTCTAGAAGTATACCCGAGAAACAATCGATCAAAAGATAATCCCTCAATCACGTCGAATATCGGAAGCACAAGAAAAGTGGGAATAGACCAACAAAACACATCTCAAGGGAAATATTTGAAATGGCACGTCCCACAGAAAGAAAAAAAACCCAAATAGCATGCCGCTTCTAGAGCCAGTTATTACACATACAGCAACAGAACTGGAACCACGACCGCCATCCCTAATCTAGGCGCCAAGGGTGGAGAATGACCAATTCAATCAATTTGCACTGACCTAATAACACAAAAATATTGCCCTCGTATATCTCATAAGTTGTAAAGATTACGAAGCACAAGAACCCTGGTACATACTAGGAGATAATCAAGATACCGTGGGGAATATGTCGTTCGAGTAAAAGGGTTGTTGAAGCACATTTTACAGTAAGAGGTGACTCCCAGACTCAACTAAACCGTCCCGATACTGATGTTCAATAAAACAACATGGGAGAAGTCCCTCACGTAATCCTTTCAGTTGTGCAAGTGGTTCATCACAAGATTCCAATAAGGGCCAATCGAGAACCCTGATATCAGATTACTACTTGATGTTGATGCTCAGGAGAAATCCGAACATATCGGTATCGCTCTCCCACAGCCCCGGCCCCCGTTTCGTCCATCTTTTGGTAGTTTATTCCAAGCGAGGTTTGCCCGTCGAAATATTCAGCTCAGCTCAAGATGATGATGCTAGTATCAGTGGTACTTCTCTTTCAAAGAAAAGGGTAAGTGAGGACAAAGGAAGCAATGATAGTCGCCTTCAAGTCTATGGCACCTGAATATGCAGACCACTTCGGAGCCTTTACGAGATAATATACAATAATAATCTCGAGAAAGGTGACTTTTACTCGGTGGGGCATATTAGGGGACCAAGCAAACCAGGTGTATGAAAAGGCGAACAATGTGATCCTTGGAGGATTTAAATTTGGATGATGATTGTGAAACACTGACTCTCCTTAGTAGGCAGAACTTTGGTCTTTTGACAACCCAAATACCTAAGTTCGTTATTGTTTATAGATCATAGTTCACTCAATGGAGTAGAAGGAGTCTGGGGCGGCGAGCTTCACCCTTTCATTGGATATTGAACATAACTAAGTTTGGCTGTTTCCAAAGCGGGCTAGAGGAATGCATGCCCCATCTCGTGGAATCCCCGCAACGGCCGAGGAATTAGAAACCTGGCAGTGAAAACGTAATCAAGTACAACTACGGAGTTCATCCCCCTCCTAGTTATCAGAATCTCAGTATGCTGTATAACTTTACCTGCGCAAACTGAATGACTTTTCTGTTTCCACGAACAATTGGCTTGCTTTTGTCGGTTCCTTTGACGCGTTTCTCACTCTGTGAGGATCCAACGCGCGTTTTGTCTCCGACTGTGAGCAAGTTGTCACACCAGTGGATCATTTTCTGTTAGCTGCCGCGTCCGAGAGCGTGAACAAAAAAGATTCCAGCAGCACACATCCCGCATACAAACTCGTCGCAATGCCATCAATGGCACCTTCTCGCAATGAGCCGTCATACCTCCTGAATCAGGTACGCAAAGGCAAAGGGATTCTGCGACGAGCTACTAATCAATATTTTGGGTCTCCATAGCTCATCATATCTCCCTCAGACGCGGACTATCTTGACCAATTGATTCCTTCCATCAAAGAGTACAGCGTTGGCAACCGAACATCACAACTATCACAGACTTTGTCTAGATTTGCTAGTGACAAGGAGACTGAGATAGAGACCATCTGCAATACCAATCACCAGGAGTTCGTAACATCAGTGAATCAGCTTTTGCGCATTAGGGAAGGTACAGTCAGCCTGACTGCTGAAATATTGGACCTCAACCAGTCGATACAAGCAAGCACGGAAAAGCTCGCTGAACAGAAGAGAGCTTTGGTAGAGTCACGGAGTCACCGGCAGAACATCGATGAGACATACAGAGCTATACAGGACTGTCTGGAGGTGTTGCGTCTCGCGAATCAAGTCCACGATTTGCTCGCCAAGAAGAATCACTATGCCGCACTACGCGCTCTAGAAGAATTGCAAAATGTCCATCTTAAAGGGGTAACGCAATATAAAATTGCGGACATGATCCAGCGCTCAGTCCCAACAACGCAAAAAGCAATAGCGGAAGCTGTCATGTCTGACCTTAACACTTGGCTATACAGAATCCGAGAGATGTCGCAGTACCTTGGGGAGATCGCTTTGTATCATACTGACTTGCGAAAGACCAGGCATAAGGAGCGGACAGAAATATCACCCTATCTTGGCCAGTTCAAGCTAAATTCGGCGATCGAGCTGGTATCCGACGAGAGCGAAGAGTACGATCTTTTGCAAAATGAGGAACTTCAGGTTGATTTTACACCATTATTTGAATGTCTCCACATTCACCGATCATTAGGGCATATGGATAGATTTCGAGTTGAGTACGCTAATACTCGACGTCGGCAGAAGGAACTTTTGTTACCAGCCTCCATAACTCTTATTGATGAAGATGGCGCTAGTCTGCACAATCTTCTCGAAGAAATGGCAGGCTTTGCCATTGTTGAGCGTTCCACAATGAAGAGGGTCCCGGACCTGAGGTCTTCGGTTGATGTGAGTTTGCTCTCTGAATGAACGGGTAGATCTGTTAGGCTGAAATAGTTGAAACAGGTCGATGAATTATGGGATTCCATGTGCCAAACAGCTGTGATCCTGATATCGGAGGCTCTCCATGAGGTTGACAATGCTGAGAGCCTACTGAAAATAAAAAATCTCATCGCATTGTTCATGCAAACAATGAATGTCTGTCAACCTCCGAGCCTGACTGTTGGCGAGATATCTTAACTAATATGACAAATAGACCTGGGACTTTCACGTCGGGGTTTTTGATGACTTCCTTCTGATTTTATTCAGGAAATATGCCGATCTGCTCAAGAAAAGATTTAGTGACGATTTCCGAGAGGTATGTCCCCTCACAAACTGATTCCATTTCTCTATATTGAGACCTGTGAAGATAGTATCGACCGATGATTATATGCCTATGCCTATACAGACAATCGAGGAATTTGATAAAGTATTGAATGTCAGTTGGTACAGTCCTGACAAGTCAAGGGAGGAGCAAGTGTACGTTTCTACTGTCAAATTAAGACACTCATCTCAGTCAACTAACGATAGTACAGGTTTCCGTGTGTCTTACCCTTTTCCCAAATGTATCCTTTGTGCTGCATCGACATCCGCAACTTTTTGAACCAGTTCTATTTTTTTGCCAATGACGATTTCTCTCATCCTAGTCTCATTGACGAGACCCTGAGAGATGTAAGTATACTATATCATATATATCTTCACATTGCTTACCATCTTAGGCATTGGATGAACTCCTATCAGACAAAGTTTGCGACACCCTTGTCGAACGGCTTTCCTCACAATATCTGGGGCAGATCGTGCAGATTTTAATAAACCTGGAGCATTTTGAGCTCGCGTGTCGCGAACTCGAGCTATTACTCGCTGCTGCTCGATCACAGAATGTCTCTGGTGATGTGGTCACCTTGAACGCTACCGAGAAATTTAGGAGCAATAAGAAAGCAGCTGAAAAACGTATCTTTGAGGTTGTTAATTCCAAGATC